AGGTTTCATTAAAGGGCCACAATAATCAACCACATTGTATATTGACAAAATAAAATAAAATTTGGAAGAAAAAAATAAAAAAGGAGATGATTCATATTATTCAGGTATTGAACAATTTAAAAAAAAAATAGGGAACATGGTACCAAAAAGCCTATTTTTAAAAACTTCTTGATGGTAAAATCCAGCCAGCAAAGAAATGAATCAAATTAAAAAACTCAAAAATAGAGAAGCTATGATATAGGAATTAGGATAAGCTTAGAATTCACTTAAATACAGAACTGAGACTACACAAGTGGAATAATCATAATTACAGAACTGAATGTAAACGTTATCACCTTTGATACTGTAATGCTCACAGTAAAATGAACTAATTTGAAAATGGGGAGTGGGAAGGTGACAGGAAGAGTGAGAATACTAACATTCTTTTTCTTCAAAGCAGATTAACGTATATTGCTTTAAATCAAAACCACAAAGTTAAATAATAAAGATTCTAACTTAATTTTGTCATAATGCTTTTTTATAATCTAAGAGCAATATGAAGGTACTTCAAAAAATCATGGAAAGATTCATATTATCTTTTAATTCTATTTCCACGAACTTTTTGATGTACCCTCACATCTTAAGAACTAATACTACTTAGAGTGGCAAAACACTTATCTAAATTTAAGCAATTCTTTACATTTCTCTTTTTTCTTTTCTTCTGTAAAATTCAAATAAAATTAATTTTCACACTTTTAAGGTAGCACTTTAGTATGATCCTACTTTTAGAAAATTATATCTATTTGTGAATGCACTCATCCACCCACTTTTTTTATCAGAATGTATATACAAAAATATATCTGGAATGACAGCAACATAATTTTAATGATGATTATTACTGGGTAGATTTTGAATAATTTTTCTTTGCACTTTGCTGTAAAAAACAGTAACACAGTTATTGTTTAAAAAAAAAAAAAAAGAAGGATAGAATACAAGAAACAGAAATAAAACATGTCCAAAATTGTTTCCAGGACCAGAATTAAGAACTTGCTAACAGTTTATAAGCCACACAGAGAATGGGGAGGAGTGCATTAATTGAATAAAAATCTTCAGCTTAGTCCAAAAGAATGTCAATTATTACATTTGAAACATTAGCGTGTAATAAACATAATGAATTTACCTTTAGCTAGTAAAAATGTGATCCAAGAAACTTTTAGCACCAAGGCAGAATTTATTTCAGCAGATATTCTAGTAAACAAATAGAGAATAGAAAAGAAAGAAAAATTTAACACTGACGAAAAATTTCCAACTGTATACCTTTTGTGTGGTTTTGTTTGTTTTAAAACACAGTCCTGAGTTAAATGCTTAATAGAATATAGTCCAGTTTAAATCCACAATTTATACCTGAACTTAATTTGTCCCAATTCACTTAGTGTTTCTACAGACATATCATACTTAGCCCATAGAATTGTACAGTTGTCCCTCAGTATCCATGGAGGAATGGTTCCACGACCCCCACAGATACCAAAATTCTCAAATGCTCAAGTCCTTTATATAAAATGGCACATATCTGCATATAACCTACACACATCCTCCCAAATACCTTAAATCATCTCTAGATTACATATAATACCCAATATTGTATATAATATTTTACTGTTGCATTGTTCTTTCTTTTTTAAATTTTTAAAATTTTTTTCTATCTGCAGTGGGTTGAATCTGCAGATGTGCAACCCACAGATATGAAGGGCCAACTGTATATATTTTGTAAAGGAAATTCTGAATATCTCAATCCTAGTCTAAAAATACATAAAGGGCATGGTATATTAATAAACTTGGTTTCAAATTACCTCAATAGGGCTGGCCAGTCAGCTCAGTTGGTTAGAGCATGGTGCTGATAACACCAAACTCCAGGGTTCAATCCCTGTACCAGCCAGCCACCAAAAAAAAAAAAAAAAAAAACTACCTCAGTACTTTTTTGTTTTGTTTTTTAATTAAAATCAATACTGTAAACAGAAAAATGAAGCCAACAAAAAAAAAAAAAAAAAAAAACTACCTCAGTACTTTTTTGTTTTGTTTTTTAATTAAAATCAATACTGTAAACAGAAAAATGAAGTTTGGGGTGATTCCAGTTTGCCAGTTTAACACTTTTCCTTGATAATCTTTTCATAAATATTTACTTGTTGGAATTAATAGATTCAAATCAATCAATTAATAAATATACAATTTCCTTTTATATCAATCATGTTCAGTACTACTAATTCAATGGAACAGAAAAGCTCATGTACTACTCACTCTGGTTCCAAAGAAAAACTCTGGAGCTCTAGATAGGTATACTGTTAAAGCATGCATTACGCATTTAAAAAATAATTTGGAAATTTTAATATAGACCTTTGTATGTACTCTTACACAAAAATTATGCTGAGTCTTAGTTAATAAGGTGCCTATAACAGACCCTCAGTAAGGATTTAGTCAATTAATTTACTTTTTTCCCCAGAGCTGGTGATATGTTGCACTAAATCAATTTCCACTTATTAGTTCCCCCTTAAAGTACAAGGCATGTATTTCATACCATTTTCTTTGTGAGAAGATAAATAATCAACACAGAACTTAAATCTATGACCTTAACTTATGAAGTGTTACACTATAATAAATCAAACTAACCCCAACATTATCAATCTGGTTGAGATTATTCCAGAAAAATCTTTTTTTTAAAGTGAGAAACAGGGCCAGCCCGGTGGCGCACTGGAGAGTGCGCCGCTTGGGAGCGCGGCGGCGCTCCCGCCGAGGGTTCGGATCCCATGTGGAGACCGGTTCCCGCTCACTGGCTGAGCGCGGTGCGGGCGCAACACCGAGGGTTGTGATCCCGTTGTCAGTGCCCGGTACGGGCACGACACCAAGGGTTGCGATCCCGTTACTGGTCAGTAAAAAAGACAAAAAAAAGGAAAATAAAAATAAAAATAAATAAAAAGTGAGAAATAACACGCTCTAAATTACTTACGAACTGCTGGGTTGTGTCAAATATATAAGTTCACATGTCCTGAAAGGAAGAAATAATTATATTAACATTATGTCTTTTTTAAAAGTTACTTTTAAAATTTTTTCATATTTTAGAATTCATAGCAATTTATCATGCTTTATTTACTTTAAGAAGTATACATTTAAAAAACAAAAAACGTATAGCATTACGAAACAAAGTTAAGGTAAGTTTTTTCCAATTCATGACGTTTCACATCATCATAATATCCAATTACAAAAGGACCGGATTCCGTATGTTCATTTGTAACTCAGAATACATTTTACAATTGAATCTTGTTAGACTAGATCTGGTAAGAATCCCAGATCATAAAAGGTCATAAAGCCTATAAAAGACTATATATTCAGGGCCGGCCCGGTGGCACACTGCTATAGTGCGCCGCTTGGGAAGCGCGGCGGTGCTCCCACCGAGGGTTCGGATCCCACATACAGACCGGTTCCCGTTCACTGGCTGAGCGAGGCGCAGGAGCAACACCGAGGGTTGCGATCCCGTTGCCAGTCCCGGTCCAGTACAGGGGCGACACTGAGGGTTGCTATCCGTTGCCGGACACGGAAAAAGACAAAAAGCAAAAAAAAAAAAAAAAAAAGACTATATATTCATATAGTCTACTCCGAAATAAATAGGCTTTGGTATCACGGTTAAATCTTCTCAGTTACTCTTCAGAAAAAGGTACAAATAAGATAGAAAAATTCTTGCTGATCCACTTCAAGGCCGGTAAAGTTAACTCTAAATTATCTCATATGACTAATCAATAAAAATTCTAAATTCCTTTTACAAGGGCCTGAATGGTCTTTTAAAGCCAAATCTGACTAAGTCATTCCCTGGTTTAAAATCATTCAGTGACTTTCTAATGCCTACAGGGCAAAATCTAAGCTCACTACCAATCTGATCCCTTCTTACCTTTCAGTCATTAGTATTACCAAAGTACAGTCATCCCTGGTTATCCATGAGGATTAGGGCCAGGATCCTCCGCAGATACCAAAATCTACGGATGCTCAAGTCCCTGATATAGAATGATATAGTATTTGCACATAACCTATGCACATCCTACCATATACTTTAAATCATCTCTAGATTACAATGTAAATGTTATATAAATAGTTGTTATAACTGTATTGTTTAGGGAATAGTGACAAGAAAAAAAAGTCTGTACATGTTTAATACAGACACAATTTTTTTCTTCTTTTGAATATTCTTGATCCCTTGTTGGATGAATCCAGGGATAATGAACACATAGATACAGATGGCCAACTGTACATCCTGCTACTATTTTGTCTTTATACACATGTTAATCAGTCTGCCTAGGATATTCAGTCTCAGTTCCAACTCATTTTGCTTGGTGAATTTCTATTTACCCTTTAAACCCTATCAGATACTGACTTCTATAGTTTTTTCCTGACCAAAATTGCCCCTATAGTTACCCTTCTCACCCTTAAACATATGCAATGTAATACTTTGCCCACTATATAATTTCTACTTCTTAAGTATAATCCTCTACAACTAAGTATCACATTCATTATTGCATTTATTTTTATAAAAAATACAATCTGTTTACTAAAAGCTTCTTGATGATCATAGTGTCATATAGCTTTGTATCCTTAGTACCTGACATACAGCTCAATACTAATACTTAGTTAACACTTGTTGTGTTTTGTTAATTTATTAGCAATAAAACGATAGTATAAAGTTTCTTAAGGTATATTCCCACAAAATATTACTTTCACAAGATTCTAATTGATGTTAAATACACATAAGCATATATAAGTAACCTAATAAGTACAGGAAATACTGAACTCAAGAAAGTTCAACAGATTTTATTGTACAAGACTTCTAAGAACCTTGGGTTGCCAATGTTCATTGTGAATCTTTAAGCGGGGGGAATATGGTACATACTGTTTCCCCAACTGGGCAAATTTTTTTTTGTTTTAAAAGCTAACATGCATGGAAAAATTACTGTACTTACACCAGGCACTGGACTCAGCACTGTCTATGCGTTATCTCATTTAATACATTAAAAAACCTAACAGGGTAGGCACTATTTCCAACTCAATTTACACATTAGAAAACTAAACACAAAAGTTAAGTAATACACTTGTCCAAGATCACACAGTATATGCTGGAGCCCAGACTAAAATCCAAATCTGTCTTACTCAAAAGACTCCATTCTCTTCTCCACTAAGCTCTACTAGAGCATCCCTTTTTTGGTTGTGCTTCACACCAGAATACTATTCTGCAGAATATTCTTTGGGATTTCTGGTCCTACTTAGTAAACTGGAAATACCTGTTTACCCTGGCCTTCAGGAAAAACATGGGGAATGGAAGATAGGAAGAGCATGAGCACTTCAGAACAGTCCATAAAATATTTTAAAGCTTTCACTTTTTAATTATGTAATAGTTTCAATAGTAAACTTTAGCTTTCTTTTCTTGCTTTATCATCTGAATTTTCTATCATCTAAAGCAATTCTCTATAACTTTCTCCCCTCCATCCTTCCAGACTAACTACTTATATCCCTCAAAAGACAGACAAAAAATAAACATTTTTAACAGAATCTTAACATGAATCTGAATGTAAAAAGGAAGAATGTTGGCCTACTTGGTTTATTTATTGATCATTTCTCTCTGTTTATAGAAAAGGAGGATAGCAAACCACTTAAAGTAAACTGTAAAGTCTGAAATTACCCATTAGGTTATTCAAATTTCTAACTTCCTAAGTCTTCAGGAGAATCAAATACAATTCATCAGCAGGTGTGATTGGTAAAGGATAAAGGAAAACAGAAACAAATATCCAAACAGATTCCTCATCTCAGACAGCAGAGCAAGCAATCAGGAAGTATTTAGTTAAAATACTATAGTAAAAAAAACAAATCAGGGCAGTACCTCAAACCACTCCTACAAACTAGCCTCAAAATTCTGTATCTACAAATAACCTGATGATTATAGATTTTGAAGTACTAATCTTTATAGAATAGAAATTTTCTTTAAAATTGGCTTGGGAAAATTTTTCCTTACTTTATTATAGAGGTAACACATCCTCCTTAGAAATGTAAGTTACTCATATAAAACCTAGGTTAATGTTTTGGCAAACTTCTGTCCAGTCATTTCATTCTATGCATTAGTGGCTGGATTTTTTCCTTACAAGCAGTTATAATCATGGTCTATCTTGCTGTATTTATTTAACATTAAAAGCACTTTCCCATATTATTATTCCTCATCAAATTTTATTTTATAATACTTTATGCTTATATTTATAAGATTTTATTGCTTAACTTCAGTTGTGAATAAACAGTTTGTTTCTTTTTTTTGTTTTGTCTTTTTGTCTTTTTTCGTGACCGGTAACGAGATCGCAACCCTCGGTGTCACGCCCACACCGCGACTGGCAACGGGTTCACAACCCTCAGTGTCGCGCCCGCACCGCGCTCAACCAGTGAGTGGACCGGTCTCTACATGGGATCTGAGCCCTCGGCAGGAGCGCCGCCGCGCTCCCAAGCGCCGCACTCTACCGAGTGCACCACCAGGCTGGCCCTAAACAGTTTGTTTCTAATTTTCCAGGGGTCTAAATAATATTGTGACAAAAATCTCTAAAGCCTGGGCCGGCCCGGTGGCGCACTGGATAGTGCGCCGCTTGGGAAGCGCGGCAGCGCTCCCGTCCGAGGGTTCGGATCCCATATACAGACCGGTTCCCGCTCACTGGCTGAGCGAGGCGCAGGAGCAACGCCGAGGCTTGCGATCCCGTTGCCGGTCCCCGGTCCGGTACGGGGGCAACACTGAGGGTTGCGATCCGGTGCCGGACACGGAAAAAAGACAAAAAAAAAAAAAAAAAAAAAAAAAAAAAA